CGCCGGCGGAGGGTGTTTTTGAGGCGCCATCGAACGCAAAAAAGAAAAATGACTGGCTGGTGTCTGGTGGAGAGTTTGTCTCCTGTTGAGATTTGTTACATTTCGGTGGTCGTGTTTGACTTTCTGTTTTGGTCTCCTGAGATGCAACAGCTGAAAGTGTTTTCCTCTGGGCGTGCACTGCATCCGAAGCCCAGTCCTGGAAACGCCAACCAGGAAAGCTATGGGACGTGCAGTGCAGGGTTCTGCGTGTCAGTTGCCCGCAGTGTACTCGGCTGAGGTGCTTTGTGGCGTTTCCTTGTAACAGTGCTTTGAGGTCTTGGGGATTCGGAGCCATCAGTAGTGACTGGAGGGTCATAACACTTGAGAGGAACTGGCGTATGGGCAAAAGTTTTATGAGACGTTTAGTCTAAGTGCTTGAAAGTTTCTGAACTTTTATTCCTGTCGCATAAAACTCTATGTTAAGCTTCAGCATTTTTCATTCTTTCTTACATTTTGCCTTTGAGCCAGACAACAAACATCCTTGTGATTCTCTCTCTCTCTCTCTCTTTCTTTCTTTTTTGTTTGGGTACAAAATTAGTGATGTTCATGTGCTCACATTAAACTTTTTTTCTTCCCCAAGTGGAATCTAAATTTAGGCGAGTAGAACATGACAGGGAGATATTTATTGTACTGCGACATCCTATTGTTCTTGATTGTGATACTTTATGGTTAAAAAGCTAAGGTTGAAAGAGTATGATTGCCATTATTATTGTCAGTACTGGTCCTGCTTTGAGACTACATGTAGATTGCTGGGAAATGGAACGCCTTTCTTTCCCTCACCACTTCCTCTCCATTTTTGTCCTTTACCAAGTCCTTTTCTTTCAACTTTTCAGATACAGAGTTCAAGCATATTGCAAAAGATAGGAATGGGCTTTTGGGATGGTTTGTGAAAGGCTATTGAAAATACATCTGTTTAAGTGGATTGTCTTATGGGTCAGTTAAAAATCATACTATTTAAAAAAAAATCTGAAACGTTCTGGGAGAAGACAGAAGTTTAATTTCTGATTAATCAAGCTCTGATGTATCCAATACTTGAAAGTTGGCATTTGGAAAAAGCAGTAAATATACCTTAAAGAATCCCCTGTTACCCATAGAGCTTTGGAAGCATTCTCAATTATTGTAGGGTAGCCAGAAATACTGAAATTATGGCCATCACTTGGGAAAAGAAGGCCTTTCTTCCCCGACCCAGCATTGTTATTCATCTTTAAATGGTGGAACTACCAAAAATTCTCCTGTTACGTCCAAACCATACAAAATACACTGTACTCTTGATTATCCTTACCCACAAAAGTTTTCATTAGTATGGGCAGTTCAGCTCTGCAGATTAGCTGCTTAGCAAGAGTAAAACTACTGGCTGGCAGTCTGAAGCCTAGCAATTTGCTTAGGGGTGGATTCAGGGCCCACTCCACCTGCACTTTTCAGTGAGATTTTTTTCTACCTTGACAGCTGAGATCTTTTTTTCTGTTGCATTTTATCTGGCTTAAGTGGTGAAGTCAGAAGGGAAACCTTCACTAGGAATAGCACTTCACCCCCCCGTGGTGGTGTAACCAAAAGTTAATTATGTTTTGAAGGAGGGTTGGCAGTCTAGAATAGTGGTCAAGGGCATGGGTTATGGAATTAAACTGTTGGGTTTCCCACTTACTGGCCATTGCCTAATTGAGTACTTTAACTTCTCTGATTTGGTACTTATCTGTAAAAGAAGAATAATAAGAGTGCTTATCTAATAGGCTGATGTGCATTTAAGGTACTTTGTACAGGGTTAGTGTAAATACTCAAAAATTAGTAGCTATTCCTCACACTAGTTATTATTATTAGGTGTGAGACATTAAATGAATGAACAGGAACTAGCCAACAAGAAATTATTGACTACCTATAATGGGTAAGGAAGATTGAGGAGAAAAGGATAAAATAAGCATAGCAATAGTTTATGTTAATCGTTACGTAAGAAATGCTAGTAGGTAGAGAGATTATATGAGATACTGGTTAAGTGTAGACTGCATTTTAGCAAAGTCGCTGATACTAAATTGATTCTGAAATATTATATATGGGCTTTCCTCTTTTTGCGGTTATTGTCATCCCAGTTTTCCCATACAGCTTTAGCTATCATGCTTACACTTACTTTTACAAAGCTATTTTTTCGTGAAGTGTATGTGATTCACCAGGCCAGCAAACCTTTTTCATTGTGTGGTATTTTTGTTGGAAAGACTATGAAAAAAGATAAATATGTTTAAAATTCTACCTGTAGTTTTCTTCAAAGATAAATAAGATTTTAAAGTAGTTAGTGATGCTTTTTTTTCAGAACAGTGCTGTTATATGCAAACCATTGAAACAAATATTTAATTAGTTTGATTTGTAAGTATATGCCTATTATATATCTATTTTTATCTGGCAGGCTTGTATTTGAAGAAACTGAAGAACCTGATTTTATTGCATTATGTCAGAAATTAAAGATACCAGATCATGTCAGAGAAAGAGCTTGGTTTACTTGGGAAAAAGTTTCATCTGTGGATGGAGTGTTGGTAAGGATTTCCTTAACATTTTTTGAAAAAAATTTTCTCGTTTAAAAAATTATTTTGGAAAATAGAAAAATATAAAGAAAAGAAAGCTAGTAATAATTATGTTATCCAGTAATAATTATGTTATTCTGATTAGCATTAAAAAATTTTTTTAGCATTAAAAGTTTTTTTTAAATCTCCCGATATAAACCCCTCCAAAGTATTTTAAAGCAAATCTTAGATGATATATTTTATTCATATACTTTACTCTGGTACAAAGAGTTATTGAAAAGCAAAGCCATACCTTATAAAATAATCTTTAATATTTTATAAATTTAAATTTAAATAAATTAAATTTAAATAAATTAAATCAAATTTAAAATTTTAAATTTAAATATTTAAATTTCCTGATTGTTTCAGAATTAGTTTTGTTAGAATTTAGAATCTTTGATAGCATTTGATATATTTCTTCCATTTTTTTTCTTTTCAGAGGTGTGTGTGTGTGTATATGTGTGATACTACTAACACTACTAACACCAGCAAATAATTCCTAGTGCTTTATATGTACTGGAGGAATATTATAAGCATTTTGCAAACAACCCATTCAACAATCCATTGAGATATGAAATAAAAAAATCTGTGTTTTACATGTAAAATTTTTAGAAGGTGATACTGAAGTAGAGTGAGGTTAAGTAACTTGACCAAGGTCTCTGGCTAAGAACATTTAGAACACAGATTTGGGATCATACATGTAGTTATACATAGTTACATATAATAGTTTTGTATCTTGTTATACAATTTTTTTCTCAACATGAGCATTTTATTGTTAAATATTTTCTGATATTTAATAATATAGTTTCCGATGGTACTATAATATTTAATACATTAGATAGATTTTGATGTTTTAACTCTTACTGTTATTGGACATTTTTTCCCCCAACTTTTTGGCACATAAAATGATGTGATAAACATCCTTATTCAGAAGAATAATGCCTGGCACAAAGTAAGCCCTTGATAATTTAATGAGTGAAACTCTGATTGTTAGAATACATTTTGAATTACTGTGTCAAAAGCTATGAATATTTATAAAACTTTTGATAGTTAAATTACACTCTAGACAGACACTTTTAATGAATTTACTTTTTAACAGCATCATATTAGTGTACATATCTGTCTGGTTTTACTGATCAGATTAACACAACAAAATATGTTTTTGTATATCATAAAAATATTTAAGACCATTACAAAATCTGGTATCTTAGTCCATTTGGGCTACTGTAACAAGATACCACAGACTGGGTGGCTCATAAACAACAGAAATTTATTTCTCACAGTTCTGGAGGCTGGGAAGTCCAAGATCATAGTGCTGGCCGATTCTCTGTGTGAGGGCCTATTTCCTGTTTCATAGACAGTGCCATGTCAGTGGCCTCACATGGTGGAAGGGGTGGCAGCTTTCTTGAGCCTCTTTTTAAGGATACTGGTCCCATTCATTAGGACAGAGCCCTTGTGACCTGATCATTTCCTAAAGGCCACAACTCCTAATACCATCACATTGGGCATTAGGTTTTAAGGATATGAATTGTGGGGGATTGTGCACAAGCATTCAGTGCAATAGCATCTGGTAATAAAAAAGAGAAAATGAATCCAATTTCAAAGACCTGAATATAATCTGGAACTCCTTACTAAAAAAGGAGGAATATTGAAGTATCTTGGATGAATGACTTGGGTATTATCGTCCCAAAGGATCTAATGTATATTTTCACTGATTTGGGTACTTCATGTAACAAAGTTTTTTTGTGCATGTGCAGTTAAAGATAGTCATAGCTCTGTCACCTCTCACTCATAAATGCTAGGCTTTTAGTTTTCAGAAAGTTGGAAAGGAGTAGTAGATTATAGAGAGAATTGGTGAATATAGTTTCCAGTTTATGAGTGGGTTATGTTCCCGGTCTTTGTAAGTACAATATAGTAGTTAGGTTTCCAGGCTAGTTCACACAAAACTTTTTTTGTACTGAACTATAACAGTAATAGTTTTCATCATTGAGGCCCTTTTAGGCTTCAGACTTGACTACAAGTACAAGTAAATATTACTACTTTCTTACCCTATGTTTTTTCTCCTAATGGAGCTGATGAGGGGACTAGGGGATGTGAAATCATTCTTGGTGGTATGCTGGAGGAAGACAAGGAATTTCATGTTATCTTTGGGATATAGGGTACTTTTTTTTTTTTTCCAGGGTGTATGACAGAGGAGGGTATGGTATTATCCTGTTATAAATACCAGACATTTATGTAGAAATATTATTTTAAGGGATATTTAACTTTTTGAGGGTTGGCCTGAGAATTTAACCTCTGTTTATACAATATCTAAGGGAGAATGTAACAGTGTGTGCAGACAAGTGAATGTAATGACAAAATTAACCAGTTTCTGATGCAGCTGTTCTGTTCTAGCTATTCTAGATAGCAGTTGGTTATCTTCTTTGAAACAAGAGAAGGAATTTAGTAACTCAGGGAACTCTGGAAACTGAAAGTAGGTGATATTTATTGGAATAAAGGATGGGTTACGAGCAAGGATTTGTCATCAGACTAGACTGACTCCAGTCTCAGTTCTACCTTTTACTACCTCCATGATCTTGAACAAGTTACCTAAAATCTCCAAGTCTCAGTTTTGTTATTTGTATAAAGGATTAACAATAATTTCTGGATCTTGGAGTTAAAATGTGGGTTAAATAACTTTATGCATACAAAACACTTGTTAGTGTAAATGAAGGCCTATATTAAATCATGCAGCCAGAATAATTTGACTTAAGAATTACCCTCGAAAATTTTATATTAATATAATTTTTAAGAGAACTTAAGAATCAGTTAAAATACTTTAAAAAATTAAAGTATTTTAACTGATTCTTAAGTTCTCTTAAAAATTATATTTTTTAATTTTTTAAGTTTTTATATAAATTCCAGTTCGTTAACATGATTAGCGTAATATTAGTTTCAGGTGTACAATATAATGCTTCATCACTTACATTTAGCCTGTGGTGCTCATCACAAGTGCACTCCTCAATCCCCATTACCTATTTAACCTATCCTCCCACTCACCCAGACCAATTCTGTTTCTTGGTTTGCCTCTCTCTCTTTTTCCCTTTGCTTATTTGTTTTTAAGTTCCACATATGAGTGAAGTCATATTGTATTTTTCTTTCTCTGACTTCACTTAGCATAACACTCTCTAGCTCCATTCATGTAATTGTAATTTTTATGTCTGAGTAATATACTATTGTGTATATATACCACATATTTATCCATTCATCAGTCGATGGACGCTTGGGCTGTTTCCATAATTTGGCTATTGTAAATAATGCTGCTGTAAACATTGGGTATCCCTTTGAATTAGTACTTTTGTATTCTTTGGGTAAATACCTAGTAGTGCAGTTGCTGGATTATAGATAGTTTTATTTTGAACTTTTTGAGGAACCTCCATACTGTTTTCCAGAGTGGCTGTACCAGTTTGCATTCCCACTAACCGTGCATGAGGGTACTCCTTTCTCCACATCCTTCCAACACCTGCTGTTTCTTGTGTTGTTGATTTTAGCCCTTCTGATAGGCATGGGGTGGTATCTCATTGTAGTTTTGATTTGTGTTTCCCTGATGATGAATGATGTTGAGCATCTTTTCATGTGTCTGTTGGCCATCTGTATGTCTTCCTTAGAAAAATGTCTATTCATGTCTTGTGCCCATTTTTAAATTGGATTATTTGGTTTTTGGGTGTTGAGTTTTATTTGTTCTTCATATATTTTGGATACTAATCCTTTATCAGATATGTCATTTGGAAATATCTTCTCCCATTCCATAGATTGCCTTTCAGTTTTGTTGATTGTTCACTTTGCAGGAGCTTTTTATTTTGATCAAGTCCCAGTAGTTTATTTTTGCTTTTGTTCCCTTGCCTCAGGAGACCTGTCTAGAAAGAAGTTTCTATGGCCAGTGTCAAAGAGGTTACTGCCTGTGTTCTCCTCTAGGATTTTCATGGTTTTCTGTCTCACATTTTGTCTTTCATTCATTTTGAATTTATTTTTGTGTTTGGTGTAAGAAAGTGGCCCAGTTTCATTCTTTTGCATGTTGCTCTTCAGTTTTCCCAGCGCTCTCTTCACCTCTTCCATTTGGTGAAGAGACTGTCTTTTTTCTATTGGATATTATTTCCTGCTTTGTTGAAGATTAATTGAGTATATAGTTGTGGGTTCATTTATGCATTTTCTGTTCCATTGATCTATGTGTCTGTTTTTGTGCCAGTATTATACTGTTTTGATCACTACAGCTTTGTAATATAACTTGAATTCTGGAATTTTGATACCTCCAGCTTTGCTTTTCAAGAAAGGATAAGAACCATATGATCATTTCACTATTTGTAGATGACATTGTACTCTATCTATATAGAAAACTCGAAAGTCCAGCAAAAAACTGCTAGAACTGATACACGAATTCAGTAAAGTCACAGGATACAAAATCAATGTGCAGAAATATGTTCCATTTCTGAACACCAATAATGAAACAGAAAAAGAAAATAAAATTAAGGAATAGATCTCATTTACATTTGCACCCAAAACAGTAAGATAGTTCCCAAGAGGTGAAAGACCTTTATTATGAAAACTATAGAACACTGAGGAAGGATATTGAAAGGACACCAAGAAATGGAAAGACATTACATTCTTATGGATTAGAAGAAAAAAGTTATTAAAATGTCTATACTACCCAAAGCAATCTACACATTTATGCAATTCCTATTAAAATACCAACAGCATTTTTCACAGAGCTTAGAACAAACAGTCCTTAAATGTTTATGGAACCACGAAAGACCCCAAAATAGCCAAAGAAACATTGAAAATAGTTGAATTTATAAATGTATGTGTAATGATTTTGATGTAATTTTGGTAAAACTTAAGGAAAGTTTGTGGTATTTTGTCTAGAAAAGTGTTTTTTCCTTTTTGTATAAACGTTTAATGGATGTAATATTAGTGATTGTTGTCATTACATTAGATTG